GGGAAAGGGTGTGTGTAGGATCAGGGAGTTTCCCAGCTGGATGGGGCCTGGGAAAGGTGTTTGTTTCCTTTTCAGATTGGCCCTCAGATTCCTGGGGGTGGGGGGGGGGTGAGGAGGTAGTCAGTGGGACAGAGCAGCCCCTCCCAACCTTTCTGCTGCCCACACAATACAAGCCGTCGTGGTATTTTCTTATTATTGCAGAATTTATGAAAACAGAAGGAGATACATAGGAAGCAATTTCCTGCAAGGAATTGGCTTACACAATTGTGGGGGCAGGTGGGGCAGACCTGAAATCCAGGGGTCAGGCCGGCAGGAGAGGAGTCTGCACGTCAGGGTGGAGCTGCCGTCCACGGGCAGAATGTTTTTGTCTTCCGTGAGGAAGCCTCTGCTCTGTGTCTAGGGCCTTGCAACTGACGGGGTCAGGACCACCTAGATTATCTGAGATCATCCCTTTTACTTAACATCAGCTGACTGTGGACTTCAATCACCTCTGCAACATATCCTGACAGCAGCGCCCGCATTACTGTTGATAGAACACCTGGGATCGTAGCCTAGCAACACTGACTCAGCAAACTGAGCTGATGACCCAGGCTCTGATGCTTCACTTCCCTTTGGGCCTCGCCTTCCTCCTTCCTCACCTGAAGTGACCGATCTGGGCAGCACTACTTTCTTTTCTTCCAGGAAAAGTATAAGAATCTGAAAGCTTCTGAATCTGAAGGCCCCTAAAAGATCTTGTACCCCAACACCGCATTTCCAACAGAGCTCGCAGAGGCCTCGGGGCTACCCCTGCACCGTGAGCTCAGATGATTGTGGTCATGCTTTTTTTTACAGGCCAAATGCCTCAATTAAATCTTAATAATGTGCTATTTAATTCTCATAACCTTCAGTAATTTCTCTGTTTATCGACAAAGTGTATCAAGCTTGTAGGAGTGGCTTCTATGCCTTCTTCATTAGGTGTTAAGGGAAATGTGATTTTAACAAAGGGGATTTTGTGGTGGTTTCCTTGGATTCGCTTAGTTCTGTTTTTCAATTGATGGATTGATTCTGGTTTACGAGAATCTCTGTGAGGTAAATGTAATGAGAAGAAGGAGTGTAGACTGTCATTGTAGGCTATTTCTCTTCCTCAGTCTTTTTAGAACAAACCTCAGCCCTGCTCTGAAATTCACCAGGTTGGTGAAGAATGAAGAGGTCAAATGAGACCCGTGAATGATTTGGCAATAATTATGTTATTATATATGGTAATGATGCATAGTATTATTACTTATAAAAACTAACATATAGCCATAAGGTAGGGCTCCTGGTTGAGAGGTGACAGTGGAGCTGTATTCAAGTGATGGAGCCACTGTGTTCAGGCATTCTATGCTTCTCTGATGCTCATAACAGCCCATTTTACTGATGACAAAACTGAGGCCCAGACTCCAGATGGCTGAACCAATGTCACAAGTTCATAAGCTCTAGGGACAGGATTTGAACCCAGGCTGTCTGGCACTGGCCTCCAGGCTCTTAGCTATGCATGAAAGGGCTGCACACTAGATGCTTGAGATATTTTTGGGTTTGAATCTATGATGTATCACCTAAGATGACAGTTTTTTGTGACCTTTGTTTTACATAACGAAGGAGAGGTTGCTGCCATAAGTGAAAACCTACTCAGACGACTTGAAGTTGGCCCATTGGCAAAGAAAGTAGCTCTAAGAAGTGATGACACCGTGTGCAGCCTGGGCCTTCACAGATGCTGCTGGCAGCTGGCAGCTCAGAGCCATGGACAGCTGCCTGCGGGCGAGCTATTATTCAACACATCCCAGGTGCTTCCAGGGTGGCTGGGTTGGGGACATCATCCCCTGCTGGCGGCAGGCGTCCCTGCCTTTCAAGACCAAGGCCAGTGGCCTGGCCAGGAGTCTAGAAGCATCTCCGAAGTGTGTGAAGCATTGACCAACCGCTGCCATGTGCAGAGCTGGGCAGGCCCTTCATCGGCAGAGAGAGTCTACCTGCCAGGTCCTCCCTCCTGCGCATGCCGGGGCGTAAGCTTTTAACATCCTGATAAATTTCTCCCTCTCTTTCACTTAGAAAACCCAATTCCCATCACCCAGAAGGAACATGGGATTAATGGCAAGCTTCAAGCGCCTGTGGTTCTTTGGTAATTGCTTTAAAAACACACATCCTTATAGCCACCTTTAGAACGTAGTTGATTTCAGGCACTTTGGAAAGAACTTCTGGTGAGTTGAGGCAAAATGGTGATTATCTGCAAGTGTCATGCCTGTGTCCTCACATCAGATCACTGTTTTCCCGCCCCTGCA